TTTCTAGGCATTAATTAAAAAATCAAATCAAATCTCTACCACCCCACCCCCCAGACGCTTGCGAGAGACAACAAAGCGTGGCAGATCTACCTCAGGATGCTGGGAGAGAGGGGAAAAAAGAATCGGGTCACAGCACACAATATACAAATCCTTGGGATGCCGTAGGGCACAGTATGCAACGACCTCAGACTGTTTTGAAAATCGATTACAGAAGGCCTTCAGCTGAATGGAGTCAATGACCCTATCTATGCATGGCAAAAGGAAAACAGCTACATCTTCTCTGAGCTAATACACGAGGGTTCCAGCCCAGGATCCTCATGGTGGCTAGCAAAAGGGGACCTATGGAAACAGCCCCTCCCAGCTATTCTTCAGACCAGGAGAGGAAAATATTAGCTTTCTTTTCATAAAGATTTGATTTCCATGAGATCAAAATAGACAAACCCCAGTTTTCCTCCTCCCTGTTGAAAAAACATCACCAGCTGTGCTAGAGGTCACGATGTAATAGACAAAGAATGTGTGTAATTCAGGAACTACAACTGCCTAATGAAATGTATGTCAAAAGAGACAGCTGGCCTGAAGGCTTGGGCTGCCCAGCGTCTCTGTCTTAAGGTTTTCTCTAGCTAGAAGTACAGGAGAATTAGGACTGGTGAAACGAGGTGAGTTTTATCTGGTATATCCAATTGCCAATGTCTTCTCCTTTGCGCTTAAGCTTGCACCCTTCAGGATTTGTAACTACTGTCCAGTTAAAGCTGTTCTGCTTAGACAGTGTAAGCCATGACCAACGCATGAGGACGAAGGGTTTTGCTCCCAGTGAGCAGAGCATTCAAACACAGGAGAGAACCATTGAGTGTGATTTGGGTGGCAAAGAAGTGGCAATATTAAGACTCATGATGCTCCGGCAGAAAAAGGAGTCTTACTGTGTTACTTACTTGGGAGAGATTCTGCTTCTGACAGCTGTTTCCATCATCCTCGTTAGAGCAGGAGAACTGGTAAAGTTCTTGGTTCAGTGACATGCATCGAGTCTGCTCTCTCCATCAGTGCTTGAAGCACAAAAGATATTGATGCTAACCAGATAAAAACATTTTTAAACTGATAAAGATGAAGGAATTGGGAATAAGGTTGGAGACCACTACTTCTAAAAAACTTGTAAATCGGAGCACAGGGATTACATTGCTTAAAAGCATACACTCTTAAAACATGGAGAACATGATACGCCAGCACCAGTTCACTAGACTAAACACATTTTCCAGGCAAGGGTGCAAAACCTTTTGAAGTCAAACGACACTGAAGTCAAGAAAATAAAAAAGGGTCAAAAATAGCTCCATTAATTTTCTTTGCCTTAGCTAATGTAGACTGTACGATTGTGTCTTCCCTTGTTTCTCCTTCTTCCTTCAAAAAAACCCATAGCAACGGTAGAGGAAATGAATTGTGGGTTCACTGCCACAAAAACATATGAATGAGCTTACTTTTAAGCACGCGAGAAGCTCACTGGCTTCAGCTGGGACTGAATGTTCAGCATATGCTGCAGGGCTCTGCCAACGCGGGACCTACCGAGTGGAAATAGACAAAAGGTCTACGCGCGGTCATATAAGCTGAGACAAGGTATTCACACTACAGCATGAATTAGCTGCCTGTAGAGACGGTAGAAAGAGCTTAGCTTTTTAGCAGTGCACCCAAGAGCCTCAAACCCTGCTAGACCAGGTGGTGTAGAAAGCAAGCGCGTACTATTCCTAATACGAGAAAATGTAGAAAATGCACACAGAAGATGCAAGACGGAATGTAACAACACCTAGAGGATTTGCAGACTTCTACAGAATAGTCTGGCAGCTTCAGGCCAAAGAGAGATGGTTAAGGAAGGAAAATCAAAGGGATCAGGTGTATGTGAGAGGTGGCAGAAGGAATGCGCTTCACTGCATGCAAAGCAAGAACCAACCACAGAACGAGACCCAACTGATTTGTGTACATAGGGAATATAAAAATTAGGCTAAACGTTACAGTCTACCTAGAAACAAGATGATAAGGTGAGTACAGCCCCTTATCAAATTTTAGTATGAAAGCTTTGTATTAGCTATTAGATAATAAAAGCTGGGCTGTGGCCTGGAGCAGCTTTCCTCTGGCACTGAACTCATGCCCATGCCGAGGTTTTCAGATGCAGGTAAATTGAGACCCTCACCCTCAGCTTAACATCAGAAACTGGGGCAAGGTTCAGCCTGTTAGGCTGGCCACCTATTAATGCTTCCGAACAGAACAATAAAGTTCTCGTATTGAAACTCCTGTAAGTTTTAAGACTGTAAAAGCATTAAGCTAGTATGTTTCTGTAACTAAATATTTACATTACCTTATTTCAATTCATGCTGTGCATTTCATTGCCAATATTTTCAGTAAAAGCCTTCGGAAATCAGCCTTCTGTTTTGGTTTTTTTCCCTGAAGCTGGCTCCTGACATCCCGCCAGTCTCCAGCTCGTTACTGGGAGCCAACAACCACCAGTTGGAGGGGGACTTCACTTCCTTTCCTATTCCAGTTGTATGTGGTCTTCTAAGAGAGCTGAAGGTGAGCGTTACAGTCCCCCAAATAAACAAAACATTGCCAACAGCAGCAAAAAAATCCAAAACCACTCTGAAGCGCACGCTTCAGGATACTTATAACATGAAGTAAAACATGTTAGGATTAAGACTGATTTAAGTTGATTGTGTCACTTCATATTCTTCAGGTAGCAGACTCCCACTACATGCATGACAGGGGTGAGCACTACAAAAACAGTAAGTTACTCTTCTACAGGAATATTTCGAAGGCTTCTGGCCTTTTGGAAAAAGTAATTTGGGTAAGTAGGAAATGCAGAAAAAAAAAAAAAGCACAGCTACAAAAGACCTGGAGGACAGCCATGTCCAAATATCCTATTCCTACTGTCCACATCTTAGTCTAGGGACTTCACAGGTTATTTTAAAAACAGACCAGAAAAGCTTTTGTTTCCTTAAATGCCTTTTTTTTTTCATGCTTGCAACATACCTTGAATTGTTTTGAAGTAAATTATACATAGCTGTTATATCCTGTACCTTTTTATAGTTTATGGGACAGGATTCAGGTTTCAGAGGAAGGTGACTGTTCTCACCAAGTTATACTTGGTATTCACGAGCCAGCAGCAAAACTCTGACGTGCTGTGTCACAGGAAAGGGGAAGGGCCACGATGCAGCTTCAGCAAGATGATACTTCCTAAAGACAGTCAGCAGGACACTGGACAGTGTCATAGACACTTTTACTACTAAGGAGGAGAGGTAAAGACAAGAAAACACATAGAGCTAATTGTATTTACTTCATATCTGCTCTACTGTACAAATAAACTCACTGGTTTAAATGCCTATTCAGCAAACTGTTAATTCAAGACACGCCTAAGTGGTAGGTCGCAGCAAAGTTTTCAGTCCTGTTTAATAGGATTAAAATCCTGGCTAGCAAATATTTTCTTAAAGTAGAGGGTGAACAGCAGAAAAAGTTGTTAATGGGGTAAAGAAAATATATCTCTCTCACAGCTGTGGCTCCTAAGTAGGATCTTTGAAAGGTTGCGGATAATTTTAAGTTCTCCCACTTTCACTAGAAACATTGGAAAGTTTGCACTAACATTGGTAAGTACAAATTATCTTAATCAATATATGAATTCTCGTTATACTGATGAACTTCCAGTCCTGCAAGCTCCCAGATGAGAGCCATACACCAAGTTCATTCAACTCCCATCACCTCTCTTGGTGTATGCATATTTGCAGGGATAATTGTCTTCGTTATTTCTATCAGTAACTCTAAACAATTCTTCTTGCTACTCTTTGCCAAATTCACCTTCATTCCTTCAGAACGTGACATTAGAATAAACTCTTATATTCTTAAAAATTGCTGAAATCTAAAATCAAAATCACCGCTAAATGATTTAACTGGGCTTCAGTGCTCTACCCCTTTTAAATTAGCCCATGTAAATGCTGTCTGATTAAATTCAGCCACAATGAACACCTTAAGTTAGCTTAATATTTCTATCTAAACAGCTCCAATGACATTCAAATTTATTATTACATCTCAAGATTTAAAAACACATTTAAATTAGCCAACAATGCTATTCAGAGGTGTATTATTCTTTGGCTTTGAGGAAAAATACACTAAAATGCAACTTTCCAATTAGATGGGATAAAACATTCTTTTTATAAACTTTGAGCTAGAAAACAAAGATATTCTTTGTCTCCCATGTTTGTTCCATTGGTGTGAACCAAGGCTAATAGTCAATCATATCGTAGCAATTTCAGTTTTTTAATCCACAGAAAATATTCCCTCATTTTGCTAGACAACTCAGTAGTTCCGATTTTTAATCCTTAAAGGGATGGGGCTAAATCTTTAGGAAAGACGACTTTGCTGCAGGTCAGAGGTGATAGCAGAACACCCTCCCGCCCCCTCCCCCGGTTTAATTTGTAGAGTCCATGTCAGAATCCTACCAGCTCTGCATCTATAAAGATTTCCAGGGAAGATAAATGTGAACCGGTAACATACAGGCTCATTCTCCCTCCAAATCACACTGGCTAAAACCAGCGTAAAGAGTTATTTTATCCTTTAGCATCCTTAAATTCTTACAAATTGTATTACAAAAGTCTATCCTGTATTTTACAGTACTGAATCAGGGCAGAAGATACAAATACATTTTGCTCCTGTGTGACTTGGTTTTCCAAAAGTTGGGCATCCTAATCGACCCCTAGCTCTCCCTGAAAACCCCGGAGCGGGTGGTCTCTGGGGAACACCGCGGCTGGAGCCAAGCGCACGCAGCTTTATCTTGGAACTTCAACGTGTAAGGGGAAAAACAGTGAAAAGGATCATTTTTAGTTACAGTAATAAAAATCCCCCAAATAAGCACTCAATATTCCATTTTAATATAACTAGCTTGAATCAGAAAACTGAAGGAGGCCTGGTAAGTTTTTAAATTAGTGACAATCCAACAGATGTGAAAACGGTTTATAGCATACCAAATACACACACACGATGTAATTGCCTGTTTTATTTAGTGGGATCACTTTTGTAGATTAGAAATATTTCCAATTCCCATTTACTCCAATGCAAGCCTCCACCATCGACAGGCATAACGCAGTTTGTTCAACTGATTCCAAACCAGAAAAAAAAGGAAAAAAAAAAAGTACAATCTCAAAAGTTAAGTTAGAAACTAAGTTCACACATTTTCTTTGGGACCAGGAATCTGTACATAGTACAAAATATACATTTATTGAACTTTCTGTAAACACACAGTTTGAATTGTGTAAAACTGTAAATAGTGGGTGAACTACGTGGAGAATAATTTATTATATATTGTTATACATTCTACTTAAGGAAAATAGTTATGCTCTTGTATATTACTCTGTTAAATTTATAAATTCCATAATGAAGCTGTGTAATCTGCAAACATGCTTTTCAAGCTTAAATCTCTCCATTCGTAACACACATTTATACAGGTCATCAATGAAAAAAGTTACACTTTCCACAAAATAGATATAAAGAGGTCATGAATTCTCTAAAAAGACAGGCACAGCATGTCACTACAAACGAGACTTATGATATGACGTGGAGTCAATTCTGTGAGAAGACAGGTGAAAACTCTCTAATTCAGCATGTTTGTACGCGGTCTTAGTAACAAGACAGATGCTAGAAACCAAAATCTCTGCTTTGAAAGATTTATAAAGCAGCCAGTTCTGGAAATCAAACATCACGCTTTTCAAATATCCAGTATTCCCTAGCTAGGAGAATCTAGGCTTTTGTCTCGTATTAACCCTTCGTCGCTAGTAATTTAGTTTTCCGAGTAGTGAACTACCTGGCACGATTTGCCAAGAACATTTGCATAATTCAGCACTTACTCCAGAAACTAGATTCCTGGCACCAAAGAGTTAGATCCGGTTAATAAATACAACTTAACTCTTGGTACCCAAGGTCATTGCGAATCACGCCATCAGCCACAAAACGTATGCTAGGAAATCCCAACATCAAACGGTTGCGCGGCATTAACCCGCAGAACGCGTGGCAACAGGTACTGCAGCATCTCACGTACTGGGGACTCTGTTGTGTAATGCCCAGTTTCCAACTGAAGAGTCTGGAAATTTGAAATTGCAGCAGACTTGCCAGTCCAGCATCAAACACAGCAAGAATAAAAAGCTCCCCTAAAACCACCGACAAAGATCCTTTCAGTAGGTCCCTCACTGGACATGGAAATAATGCTATGTAAATTCAGCACGTTTATTCCTAGATTTTTAGGGTCTCATTGTTTTTCCATCCCGGGTAACTCATTTTGGGTTTCATCCTTTTATTGATTCTTTACAGCTAAAAGCACTACATCAAAGACCGAACCTCGTAAGCTGTGCCCTTCTGATGCTTTAAAAGAAGAAAAATGCTGATTTACATGTTTGAAGAATTATGAAATTGTTATCTCCAATTAAGCTAACATTTTGCTTTAACATTACCACCTTCTTCCCTTTGGCTTTGAAAAGCTTTTTCAAACCCCAAACTGAGTAAAGATTACATTTCTTTTTCATTCCAAGAGAAGTGGGACAGCTAAGGCTCCAACAATACATGTGCTAACTTTACATATTGTGAGTGAAGCTCCATCAACATCAGCAGGATGGAAAGTTACGTACGTGCCTGATTTTCCCAAGACTATCTTAATTTAATTTTCCCCTGTACTTTGAACAAAATACTGTGCTTCAGCCTGAAATCCCAACAGTGAAAATGAAATCGGCTACTCAGTATTTCCATTGCTCAGACTGGGTTGAATTCAGTAATGCAAGTGAAATTAAACTCTGGACCTTCATCTATAGGCATCGATAGAAGTAAAAGTACGTAATGTTTTATGACCCGCCAGTCTGTTTTCTCCTTTTTCTTCTCAAAGGTATCTCTCAAAAGAAACAACAATGGCACCTCCTTCAACTCTGGAGGCTTACTCACAATACGTATGGAGAGTCCTGTCTACTTTAGCGGTAGAAAAACCACGCTCCCACCAGCTCTTCAGAGCCATACAGTTAATGGAAGCAAAAGTGAACTTCAGTTTTGGCTCAATGTTACTGAGCGAGCCGAGAAGTGCAGATGTAGTGCTCTTAAAGGAGAGTGTTACTGTCTGACACAGCACTCACCCTTGCAAGTAAATGGCTGGTTACAAAGCAGTGAGGACCATTGGGTTTTTTTTTTTGGGGGGGGGGGGGGAGGAGGGGAGGGAGAAAAAGAAAAAAGTAGATGTCTAGTGATATTTTAAAAAGCATTTGGGCAGGAATCAGTAGAAGTTCAGTGCAAAAATCTGGCTAGGCATAAAACAATATATACTCTAGAAATCTGACCTGTCATCCCACCTCTACCGAAGTTTTGACACTTTCAGAATAGAACTATTTCATTAATTCTATAAAAAGCGTTTTGGAAGTTAAGCCCGTTTTCCCAAATTTTGTGGTTGCAAAGGTTAGGGCAAGCCTCCCCAAAACCCCTTTCCTAAGGCACCGTTACCACTCCTGTTCTCTTAGCTTGGAAGCAAAGACTTTAGAAGAGTGCGGGGGGGAAGAGCTGGTTTACTGCTACTCAAAAGGAACATCAAATAAAAACATAGATAAAGCAAGGAATATGCATAGAGCCTAGGTCACTATAGGTCAACAACTCTGATACAACCAGGAGATTAAAGGTCCAGACATTTTTTTCACGTATTAAGTAAATAGTAGAAATATTGGTAGATTTTTCTAGAAACAAGTTTTCAGTGGGAGATAATGTAAACTCAACTTTTAGCCTGCTGTGTATTTATTTTTTTTTTTACTTGAAAGCATTTAGTGGTCCATGAGAATGAAGAAAAGCTTTAAGTTTTCCTACAGCTTCTTGAACTTCTGTGAACAAATGCCACGGCCCAGGTGACTGCTACCTCATTTACAAAGCAACGTTATTAAGCAAAATAAGGCTACGAAGAGGTTCAGAAGGTGCACGCCTGGGTCTGCAGAGACCTGCAGACCGTGCAAGCACTCCACAGAGACAGCTCAGAAAGAGCTCACCAAAAGATCGGATTCGCTGATCAATATTCCACAGACAGGTCAGTCAAAAGTACTTAGCCCCAGATTGTTACTTTTAAATTTCGCTCCATTTTTACAGCTTATAGCAGGAATCACAATCATTTTATGCACTACAGCATCCTAGAAATTCATGTGGAGCCTCTTTTTACCACTTAAAGAGTTAAAAAAAAAATTCTATCCAGCCAAGTAGAGACTTTACACCCTGTATTGGTATATAAAGGCTCAGGTTATGATCATCTCAAACACGTAGCTGTAGGAACAAGGAGCTACACTAAGTTATCTAGGAGACGTTATTTTCACACCTTATGAAGCTTGACACAGAGTAACAGTCCCATTTTCTACAGAAAACTGGCAGGTACAGCTCTATGGCTCTACAGAGCTTTGCCGTTTCTGAACCTACGCAAGGTACATTAGATTTGTATTAAAATACTGTATTTGCCAAACGATGAGGAAAAGGGTAACATTTTACTAAAGGTTAGCCCGTTACAGACATGGCCAAGTTTAAATATCAAGAAATTGAAATATACCAAGTCATTTGCGCATAAAAGCAATTCAAGAAGGTGCAGGCAGAGATGAAGGCAAACATCTCAGCATGATGAAATCCTGATGTACACTGAAATAAGGTGAACTGTAACAACCGTACCATTAACCTAACTGTGGCAGCCACGCTGCCTATCCCACAGGACAGAGCCACATACATCTAGAGGGAGCGAACACAAAGTAAGTTTGTCAGCATGGAACTCACACACCAAGACATTAAACCCAAAGTCTCATGATCCCAGTTTTAAGAAAAAGAACGTTTACCAAAGCAAAATGTTTGTCTTAAGTATAGAGCAGAGAAAGATCTGCAAAGGCTTCGATACTCCCTACCCAGGCCCATCATTTATCTGTGTTCAGGGTGTGGTTTCCCAACCTGCGGCAGAAGGGGTGGTGCAACCATTCCTTTGCTCTCAATCCTGTCTCCCCACTCTGCATCTTGCCCTAGTACCAGCATCCCGTAGCTGGACTATCAATTTACCCAGCTGAAAAGTACAGATTTTTTTTCTCCTAACTGCACGGCCACGTAAGCATGACTGCTAGCACAAAAAGGGCAGTAGGGGCAAACTTCTAGCAATAGTTTAGTCTCGGTATAGTTGATCATGAAACCGTATCCTTAGTTCGTAGATTACTAAAAAGTGAAATGCAATAGGAAGTCTATCCTATCCCAGTGTAACAAATTAAGATGAGATTATCAGGGTATCAATTGAAGTGAAAACCGTTCCTTAATTTCGTCAAATCACCTTTTTAAGTTTCCAATTCTTGAACTGAGCAAAATGGCTCAGATTTTAACCCATATAGTTGAGTCAGTACCAGCTTTGCAATAAACAATTTAATGGATGCTGAAGTCAGTTTATCTGAAGTACATGTTAAAATGATCAACTTTGGCACCTGCATGAACGATCAAGGTGAGCACTACCGTTACTCATCTGCTGCTCAATACTCATCAGGCATCCTGCTAGTATGACACAACCCAGGATTACCGCAATTCAGCGTAGTTTAATGACAAGCAGATGAAGTTTCTCTCTCAGATTCTGACTTCTGCTGGAAGAGGAAAACGAACGATGGCCACGCGTCAAGGTCTTTGCGGTGGTGCTTCCTGGCTGGGCAAGAGCAAGCCAGCTGAAAGGCCCTGGCTGCATAACTTGCACGGGACCTGCAGATTTCTGCCCCACCACATGTACCGGGGAGTCTATTGATACAACGGATTTACAGAGCCTTGCAAATCTAGGACCCTACTTAATGTAACTGCATTTAGTTAAGCCAACATTGGTTTTAAAACACATTTTAGAAGCCTCTGTCTTGAACATATTTCAATGCTGAATTAGTGAGAATTATTTGAAACAGTTGTCTATAAAGCAGTACAGGTATTCTCCCAGAACGATCAGTGAAACATTTAATCTGACTATAACAAAACTCACAGAAACTGAAGCCAGTGAAGCTGTCAAATGTAGAAGGAAAACAAAGTTGCATGGCATACGAAGCAAAGTAGCTTTACAAATATCATTTCCTTTTAAAAACAAGCAAATTGGGACCATCCTATTGGAACATGTATTTAAAAATACATCTTTTAAAATCACACAGTTTTCATTTTTGTCACACAGGAATCTTTTTCCAAGAGGGAAATAAATAGCACACAATACTTTAAAAAAAAAAAAATTGCTGCCTTGCCCCTGAGGTGCTAATGTTTTTAGCATTTAAAAAAAAGTTTCTGGTGCAACAAGGAGATGCACAAAGGTGCAAAAGTGCCTTTTTCTTTTCAGAGCAGTGAAAAGTACAGCTTGCCTCTTTTCTCGGATGCTTTATATACTTAATTCATATATTTTGTAATCAAAATCTGTATCTAAAATGGCAGTGTTTTTGCATACGTAATAGATTCAGTGCTCTGACCTCATCAAAACGCTGAACATAGGTGGGAGAGAGAAAGGCCTGAAACGGGCTTTCTTCCGCTACCCTCAAACCTACTTACATCGCCTGTAGCAACAGCAGAATTATTTTCTTTCTAACCTTTAGGAGACCTCACAAGAAGAGGCTTCAAATACATCATTTGTCACTGAGACAGTTTTAAGTGATTGCGGTTTGAAGTATGGCTTTTCACACCACAGTTTTGCTTCCGATTTTCAAAGTTTAAAACTCAAAGGTTCCACAGTCCAGTTCAAGGTTTTGCGGTTTCCAAAACTAAACTTTAGTCTCTATGAAAAAGGACAGAACTTTATCTGCCTCGTCCTAAATCAGGTTTAGCTTTTTGCACTAATACGCCATGTATTATTAAATATGCTTGTTAATTAGGTGCCTGTGAAGCTATAACTTAACATTATTATAGTTTTGCACTCTACAACAAAATTAGACATTTTAAGCATTTATTCATAGGTAGGTAAGGAACTGGTTCTTTAAGCAAAAATTGCTATAAATTTATAAATACAAATAGTGCTTATGTTTTCTTCATTCATGCTTGAACAGATTACAAACTGAATACAATGAAGTTACGTTTAAGCACCCCACATAGACAAGAGGGATAAAAGAAAAGTTTGCTGGTATATACTATACTTAGTTCCAAGACACTATAAGTTACTTTTTCACTGTTCCGTGTTCCCTAACTCTGCATTAGTTTTAAGGCTATATATACAAATATGTATATTTCAAAGTTAGGGAAAGACAAATATAGCAAAATGCATTGTACTACATATTCCTATCAAAAAGTAATTATACACCAAGTTTTGATTCTGTTTAACTGCAGTAAATGTTACAATCTACTTGTTTTACTGATTTTCCTTTTGGGGAGTCTGCCTACTAAATGAGTAAACTACATATTAAATACAATATTCTCAACCAAAAAGACAATACAAGGTGCACAAAACAGCAGTTTTGCAAACACGACTGACTTGAAAACTTAATTTTTGTATGCTCATTGGGAGAAAGCTAAGCTTAAATCAAATTAGTTTATTATCTTATAAAATTTTAAATTAGAATTTTAAACAACGAACAGTTAAAAATTGTCAACATGCTATATCTCAAATCACAAGTACTGTTTAACCACTAGTCTCTCATTCTAAGTAAGTGGGTCAATTAAAAACACACACCATAAAATGTTAAAGATTGTCAGGCTTTGACAAATGTATTTTTATCAAACAGTAGGCAAATTCAAACCAATGCACATCTTCAGTGGGGAGTAAAAAAAAAAAACCAAAACCACCAAAAAGCCTGAAAAAACCCACACTTGTAAAAAATAGGGTAACGGATTAATCCCACATCATCCTCTAGCATATGGCTATGTCTTGGGCAATAATCAAAATCCTTCCCATTTTAAAAATGGGCTACCAATTAATAAAAATATTCTTCCACAAGTAAAATATCATTTACAATGGCACTGACATTTTAAAAGGCAGGAAAAAAGGAATTACACATTTATGGATAAATTTCTTGTTTGTTAAATCAAGCTTTATTGATAAAATGGAATTCAAAGTATTTTACTTGGAACAGCAGCAGACCCAGCCAATCAGGATTGTAAAAATATGCTGCAGACTCCTACGGTATGTAGAAAGCTGCCTGTTCGTGCTCAGTGATTAGTAGTTTCAGGTAAGGGTTAATGAAAAAAGAGGTGCAAAGAATCAAGGCATTCTAATCCCAAGGTTCGTACGCGTATGAACACGATACTATTAATAGGGCATGATTTAACTCCCACTGAAGTCAAGATCAGAACTCCCTTTAACTCAATGTGAGAGCAGGAGTGCGTCCAAGAAAATGATATACGTTTGTTGAAGAATGTGCACTACTCTTAGTTATTTTTCCATTGGCAAGCAAATTCACACACTGTAATTTCTGGTGAGTCGCCCACAAGATCAGCTTTCATATAAAACAAAGTTATCTTTACAGTTTTGTGCACCTCTTGAGCACCTAGCTGGCTAGGCTGCTGCTCCTTGCAATCCAAAACCACAACATGAATTTAAAGGGATATATATTGTTGCAACACACAAGCCAAACATTTCTTCTAACCTTTATAGTGATTTAAAGCAGTTCATAATTAAATATGAGCATTTTGTACAAAGACAATTGCACTTTACAAAAACAAAATCATACAACATAAATTGCTGGAGTCTGATTTACAACATGAATTATGGTTTGAAATCACGTTTACAGAAGTCTGTTTTACAAAAAAGATCAGTTCCTGGGCTAGATGTTGTACTGCTGTAGTCACTCTCACCAACACATCATATTCCCTTCTTTAATTAAGGTTGAGGATGGATGTTAAGAAGGGTCACCGAGGTTGGGCTGCACTTTCATTTGAAGGACGAAACGTGAACTCCACAGCTAGATGAGCAGTTTTACCACATATCATCAGTTGAGGCAGAATCCTTAAAGAAAAAAGAAGGAACCCTTTAAAGTCTGGAGTGCCCATAGTTACAGCAGTTTCTGGATAATCCAGACTGAAAAGGGTAAAGGCTTAAATCATTTTAGGAGTCTGTTTTCTCTCCCCTTTCAAAATAGCATCAGAGAAGTATCTAAAAACCACACATGCTTAATTAACGAAGCATTAGTACCAAGACATTTCAAAATCTGACCAAGCATTTTATAATAGCCTTATCAATCCTCAAAATAATATCCTAGGAACTTTATTCAAAAGCATTCCCAGAGTAGTTAGAAGTAATACAAAATGGATACACTTACTACACAGGTGCGTGAAAAGAGCAGGATGTGCCTCATGCCATTTGTTATTATCATTACCATCTTTTGTGTTTTCAGCCCTCCCTCACTGCATAGGAAGATACAGTCATCAACTGACACCCTGTTATAATTCAGTTCAATTTTAACACTTATAATTTAAGGTTAGAGAAGTGTACTTTGGGCAACTGCAGGAAACCCTAATTTTGGATGGTAATAAAACCACAAGGAAAAAAATGTATAGAAGAAAAAAATTGGAAGCAGACACATGCTGTGCTCTATATCATAACCGTACGGCCACACTACATGGCATTACAACCATGTATCCAATACCTGAGTATCCCTAAAATTTGGTCCACTTCGGCCCATAGGCAACAGTGGATTTTGGGTAACTACCACACCCCTGAAAAATGTTTAACCAATTCCTTCTATCAGCTAAAAAAAAAATCCTAGTACAAATTGAGTATTTAATTCTAGTAAGTGTTTTTTAATCCATGTGCCTTTGTGTCATGTCTGTTTCCTTTTCCCTTGCTTAGACTGTTCTATATTCCGCTTTCTCTAACTGCCTCATCAGTTGGGTACACAGGTTAACACCACGACTAAGAAGTGGGACCACAGCTCGGTAGCTGAAGCAACAGCTAAGTCAGTAGCACTGGCATCAGAGCAAACTGCTTCTGTACAGCAATCTTTGGTTGTTTCAGCATTACCCGCTACCTTCCCCTAAGTAATTAAGGGCCATGATGGGCTTTAACAACAGTGCATGCTGGTGCTTCCACAGCTACACTTCCCTATCATTATTACTAAGACTGCAGGAGGTAGAAATATTACTCCTCTTTAAAAGCACCGCCTTACTGATTCCTTCGAGAGAAAAGAGGCTAATTAAATCTCTAGCAATGCCACATACGACAATTCCTTAGCACTGAAGTTCTGCACCCTTCATTCAAACTTGCACACAGAATTCATTACAAACCATAAAGAAGAACAGTTGGCACGGAGGTGTAGTAAAAAAAACCAAAATCATTAAAATTACCCTTTGCAAAAGTACCACCTCCGTTTTTTTCCTTCAAGACCAGAAGTAGCAAAGGAGAGCAATTATATGAAAGACCAAAATGGTCGTGTTTGTTTCAAGTGCAAGGATGAAGAATAAAAGCAGTAGTGAGTAAAAACACAGGAGCTGCATGCCAACTATTCAGTATGCAAATTTCTGTATCCAAGTTGCCAACATCATCACAAAACAAAGACGTTTGTGTACTGTATGTTTGTAGAACAGTAACATACTATAGAATGTATTTTGAAGGTAAAGCATCCTTTCAGCCACTATTTAGGAATTTTTATGCTAAAGATATAATGAGAACTGCCAAATAAACTAGCACCCAATTGTAAAGCCAACACACAATTCTTTATGTCTGGATGCATTTCACTTACATCACATCTAAGCATGTAAGTAATTTTTGATGATAGGTAAAGGATCAATTTAATTACTTTATGAAGTACAGCACTTTTGGTGACAGAATGTTGTTTCCAGTGATCTGACTGCAACTGGGATCGCTGTTCATATTTTAGAGTTCTGTTTTTTTTTTCCCCACCAACAGTGGATTCATGTCACACTGATCACTGACATGTAAGAACCTAAACTGTATGCTTGCTCTAAGATGCTCTATGCTCAACAATAAGAGTGCTTACACAGTCCACGTGGAAAATTAATATATCCTTAAAGCTGATAGTTACAAATCTGTTTAACCTACAAGTATGGCCTTTTTCTTCTTGGTATTTGGGGAAAATGTCTCCTGCAAAGAGGGAAAAAAATATACATGACTCTGCACCATTTGGCAGGAAAGCATTTGGAAACCCAGGCAGGATTCAAATAATGAAATTCCAGAGGACAAACGAATCAACCATACCAGAGTTTTGAGACTATGATCAGCAGAAAACAATTACAAAACACAGTCCAAAAAGCACAACATTGCTATTGCTTCTTTGGGGGAAGGGGTCTTTTAACAAGAATTAGCAACATGTTTCTTTACAAAACAGCTAAAATAATTGGGGTGGGGGGAAAAGATAATGTAAGAGAAAGGATACTTACAGTATCATCATTCCTGTAGGGGTTCAGTCTGTTATAAACTGCTTCAATCACACTCCGTCTAGAGCAAAAAAAACCCACAAGATTTTAAGGTTGTGCCTTTTTAAAGTCAAATTCCCTAAGCACAATTTTAATTTAAAATGCAAACCTTAAAAGGTTTTAGATTCACAGAACCAAGTTTACTGCAAGTTAGCACTAACCATCATTAAACACTGAACACAGCTACTGTATCCTTTAAAACCTTTAGGTTCAAGAAAAACAAGGCTGTTCAGACAAAACTCAAGAGTTCAGCAGGAGAGGAGCACAATCTGACATTCAGATGAGGCTGCGATGCTGCTTGGTGCTACATATCTTGACTTTGAAAAAGGGCGTCAGAAAACTTGATGGACATTGAATGCCCTGGTCATTTGTGTGTCTGATGAACACTGCAGTAGTATTTCATGTATTACGGCACTTTCATACGGGAATAATGTTTTTTTTTATTTTCTGGATGCACAAAAATTGCATTCTGAAGTACATTTTTGTTCCTGTTACATTCTGAAATGTACTTTCCACGTGCAAACCTGGAAAAATTATTTCTGAAGCAATACTCTTTTACAATAATATGTCCAATACTCGCCTGCAGCTTCTCTCAAAAAAATTTGAACTGCAAATAGCAGTTCTACGTATCATATCTTCAGACTGAGAAGAATTTTGTCTGGTAAAAAAAATTAAAAAAATTAATTCAAGCATCGTGACAGTTTCACTCCTTTAAAAAAAATTTGCTTAGCATATTTAAGATAGCTTGTAATTAACTTTTGTCTCTGGGATTCTCAGCTTTTCTAATATTGATAGGAAATATATTGATATAATAGTAATAGAAAAATTGCAAACAACATGTAAGTGAGCAAGATGGGGATTTTTTTTGTTTTTGGTGGTTTTTTTGGTTTTTTTGTTTATTTTTTTTTTTACACAAGGTGAAAAGGTTTTATTGAAAACTGATACTGAAAAAAAACCAATGTGAGGCTGAAGGAAGAGAAAGCCTTTGCCTTACCCAGCATATAAGGAAACAACTTTGGAGGGGGAGCAGGAAGGAAAGAGGGGAGTAAAAGACAGAAATTACAGACTGGACTTTAAAAGCAACTTTCTTCCAGATCCCCTTCTGCAGAACCAAGTATGACGAAGTAGCAGACTACAACTGCGATACAAAGCAAACTTCAAAGAACAACCTTTTAACGGCTCATGAATGCATGCAGAACAATCACAAAGGAGTGCATTAGAAGAAAAAGCAGATGATAGGCTTTCTAATCATCCCATAACACTGAAAAGTCAGGAACTACCATGCAGCAGTATAAACATCATAGTGAATCTAGTGAATGATTATAGGGCACGGAAGAAGAGGCTGAATTTAAAGCGATAAAAACAAGCAATTACACACAAAGTACATCGCATGTATGAACTGGAAAGTTTCCCTTATCTTTCAAGAAATAGGCATCTTTGATTCTAAATAAAGGCAGGTTTCTTGAAAAGCATTATTTTCCTTCCAAATTGGCAGTCGTGCTTTGAGTTATGCTAACATCCAATTAAATCCGTACTTCTGTCAATCCCTATTCAAACTAGCGTCACTAAGACACAAAATCCTATGGAAGTCAGTCACTTCAGCACTTCCTCACCACCACGATGCTACTGCTAGCCAAAAGAGATTGAGAAAAATCAATTTGTATGCCACATTTAATGAGTAACTGACTCATCGATACTTCAAGACTACAGCAACACATCCTAAATAGATGCTGCTATTATGTAAAATTGCCATCTCTTCTTTTCCTAGTCAAACAGTTCATGTAAGAACAATTTTGTTTTGTAGAAGTCATCTTTACAGTTCAGTTATCATTTATTCACTTATATACCTAGAGTCTTCATGTTTTGGTGTAATACAAAAATCATACTCTGAAGGGTTAAAAATATAGTCTGTACCGTATGTGCCCAATCCATTTTAACACAGCACAGGTTCATGAACAATCTTTTGAACCAAAAAGCACTTGGTTTGGTGTGCAAACGAGCTAAGCACGTTGCTTCCTTAAAGATCGAACATCAATTTGAGAAGCCACAGAGCATCAACACTGAACTCTTCAAGGACAAAGCCAGCCTATATAAAGCTGAAAATTTAACTTCCCACTTTTCTTTTCTGATAGACTTCTATCTAGTTTTCAGATTTGTCACAAGCAGAGAGATACAAAAGCAAACTTTTAAGCAATTACAACATTGCCTTGGTTACAGACAAGAAAAGAAAGCTGCCAAGCAAAACATCATATGCATATCACTTTTTGTTGAAGTGTACAACTACATATCCAAGTAACTACTAAAGTCAGTGCATTATTTTTGCAACTTCAAATGTAACCTCCCACCCAGAGAACCCAGTTAATTACAAAAAACAGACACACTCAGGCCACCCTTAAAAACCCTCAGTCCTTCCCAAAACTACAGTTTGACATTTAATTTTAGCAGTGATTTATAGTTAACTCTGTTCTTATGCTTGTCCTTTTCATTCAGAACAACTGAGTAATGAAAATTGGAGAACAGATCATCACCTTTTGTCTTGTACCCTTCTTCCTTCCCCCCACTTTTAAGAGTGGCCTTACAGTTAAGTTTTGATTTAAATCAAAAACCACATTTACACTGATGTGAACTCACTTGCTTGCCAATTCACCCCCTGGCGGGAGGTTTGGGATGCTCTCAGTTGCTAACGTACGCATCACGTGGACTAAGTCTGGGACTCCTTCACCCTGCTTCTTTATGATCTCTGGGAATCAGAAGTACTTTTTTTGTAAGTGCAGTCCAAATTTAACTTAAAAAGATTGAAACACTCAGTTTTATAAAAAGGCAGCTTAACTTCTGTTAATATAGTAAAAAAAAAAAAAGATGACAGACCGTATTCAACATGGTAATTGCTAACTTTGGTTCCGTAAGAAAAAGAACCTGTAACAGATTTGACAAAGATATACTGCTAACTGTTAACATGCACACCGGTTTTAGAAAAACACAGCTACCTAATAAAAGTGGGAAAAAATTCTTTAATGGCTTTCCTGCTAGACATTAGATATAACAGAAGATGTAATATCTTCCCAACAAAACGCCCTGGGCACAAGGCAGATATTAACATCAGCTTTACCACTGCAACAGAAGACAAAAGATTATCACCATCATAGAAAGCATAATATTTTCAAGAAACAAAAGGTTAGACATATTAAAAATAACTCCCATGGCTGTATGTATATTAGCCAATACTTGTACCTCACTGCATTACAGCAACATGCAAATTTTAGGAACTATTACATACAAATTACAAGCCAGGGACATCACATCTAAGAGACAGTTCCATCCTCAACTCCCTTAGGGGATATTTGAATATTGAGCAGTTATTTAAAGCTGATCCACTCCAACTTCTGGGTGAAAAGAATCTGTACTGTAGTCACAGTCACGTTTGCTAAGAAATTCATTCTTTAACTTTATTCTTAGGCCTGGGTTTTTATTTTTTTTCAAGTTGTAAGCACACAATTTTATTTGAACTCAACAGATTTCAAACCGTACCACCCTTGAAGAGTCACTCTTTAAATAGGGATTTTAGGGAATTTAAAGAACAAGCACATTTTTTTAAAATGCATCTCATCGGTTTCTCTGTAAACACGAGCTCTTAGAAATTATAAGAGATATGAATTATTAAGACTTGGCGCTGTTGATCTTCAAGTGAATACTGCAGCACACAGAATAAAGTGTACGTATGTGCATATATATACATGCACATATGTACACGCACACTATTCTTCATGTAATAAAGCATTTACACAGCTTGAAGAGTAGTTGCGAGTCATTAGTACCACTTTTGAAAAATACTCTAGCATTCAGTTTTTGCCCTAAATGACAATTCCAGAAGAGCATACCAAGTTTCCATTTTATAATTTGTGAGATAAGGCACATTAAAAGCTTTTAAAACCAGCATGCATCCAGTCCCTTTTAGTTAAAAAATTAAAAACAACAATTGTGAATTACTTTTTGTGCATGTAATAGTTTCTCAGGGCTGTGTGTGTTTACAAAAAGCATCAGCTCTATTTTGCACTCAGGCTGTGTAAATTATTTGCAAGGTACAGTGGAAACACTGTCTAGCCTTCAACCAGTGTCAAACTCTGCAACGCAAAGCTTTAAGCCGTTTACTTCAAAACCTACATTTTAAATACATGACACCACACACCATAGACACCTCAAAAACTTGCCATTTCCTCAAAACCTATAGCCAAAATTCATTTTACCATCTAGTATTTAGTAAATAAATAATCTAACACTCTTAAATCTGAATAAGAAGCAAAGATCTCAGATTTGGTTTGCCAAGTTCCTTTATTGTGCAATTTTGAACATCTAGTATATTCTACATTGTGCTAATGCTAAAGTTCTGCTGTACAAAAATAAGGAATTTATAGTTTACCTATACTACACAGTTTCACAACCTGTAACTGCAGTACATTTAACATACAGTCTCCACTAAATGAATACATTTATATTTTGATAAAACTATAGATACAGACTGAATGAACACTGAAGACACAACAAATGGAGTCGGTCTGCTAGCTGTGTTTAATTTATTGGAATTATCTTCTTTCAATACATCTTACAACTCTCCCCAACCTTTAATTTACTTTTAAACCTTCTACACATTTTCATGGCATCGAGTACTGGAAAAATGTACTTACAACCCTAAAATAAAGGGATTCAAAACATATCTGCTTTTTCATATTCTGAATGGGAATTCCACACAAAGTTTAAGAAAAAAGCCAGAGCTTTGATTTTGGGAAAATATGGGAAGGAACATGTAACAACTAACTTAAAATTATTTATCTCTATATAGGTATAAATATTGCAAGGATTATCTATTACGGAATGTTTTTATGTAAAAAACTGAGAACAGAAAAAAAGTTTAGACAGATTTCTTTTAGAGTCAACACATCAATAACACATTAGTGCAAATAATAGCAACACGTTTTGGAATGACTGATTACTTCTACCGTGAAGTTCACATGATATTTTAGGAGTAACACTGATTTATTGCAAGTAATAGCACAAAGATGCTTCTCCACACTTGCTGCTTCTTCCATTATTATTTACTGTAGCTACAAATCTGGACCACAAACACATCAAAAATTAGTAAAAGGAGAGTCCTAGGTGGAATGGTAAGTAGAAAACTGTTTTTTAACATCTGAATTGCCTCTCCTTATTCAAGATGACCATCAGTACTAAGCCCTATTCAGTCTTAAAATTTGCACTACTTCTTAACAGTATAAAGATATATTCTGGACTGAGGGAATAAAAGTACAACCAGGAAAAATGTACATTAGTAAGCATCAAATCTCATTACTTGTTGGACTACACTGAGTACTGAAGTGCATAAAAATACATAATATGCATTTTCACCGTTTCCATTTTAATGAATTTTAACTTTAAATTGGTATTACAGATTAGTAAAATCATTCTAAAAGTACTCTTTACATTTTCTAGTTCCTTCAGCTGAAGATGAGGCTTTTAAAGTTAAGCACTGCCATTCTTAAAGTATCCTAGGATAACAGCAAGATTATTCACTGTAGTGTTGCAAGTTTCAGATGCTGTAGCAGTCCTACCTTACTAGTCAATGCTGCATTATCCATTTACACCAGGAAACAATTTAACTTCACAAGAATTATGAAGTTAAATGTAACAAAGTTAATTGGCTCCTGTTCTTGAAGTTCTGCTTTAGTTCAGCCTCTCAACTTCCCTCATGAGTAAGACCTAAAAGGCCAAATTCTGCACACAGCTGATACAAATCACTGCTGGGTTGATTAGTGTTTACTACATATTCATTAATTTAAATAATATCTTTGTGCAACAATAGACAAAAGATTGAGGACAACTCTAAAAAAGAAGCAACGACCCTTGAGGGGAAGTACAATGTATGTCCTCAAGTTGTTCAGACATCATCCCATTAAATTAGTATTAAAGTGCTTTATAACTACAGAGAGGATCCTTCTGCCTCTATGCAAGTACCACACTTCGCTCACTCCTGAAATTTTTTATTTGTATAAATGCAAAGTACTAGCAGCCAAATTCATTGTATGTACCATAATCACATGCAGTTCCAGTGTTTAGGTTCTTCATTTACAAAATGAAGTGTCTGTACAAAAACATCAGCTTTCCTTATTGTAATATTCCTGGGTACAATGAGGCCAGCTGAAGATGCAGCCTTAACTTGAACGTATTTTCATATTCTAGGTCATGGGTTCATCTGAACTCAGACAATATATCTAAGATACGAAGGTAATACTTGCCCAAATTAGGAGAGTTAGCATGCTGTAAATTAATGTGTGAATTTACAGCATACTTGTTCTTCACCAATTCTGTGAGTGGGCATACATAATAAGCTCTTCAAATATCTGGTGCAAAACTGCTCACTGCTTTGAAATGGAGAAAGCCATCTGACACTTAACTCATGCAGTGTTACCATGCACTTGGATCTTCCTGCTACGCTGTCAAAGAGATTCACACTATTCCTTACTATGCACCAACTTCTCCTATGAGGCAAGTGTTAGATTAAAACACAGAAATGTCTGTCTGGACATTTGTTCAGGGGCAGAACAGATGTAGTTTGCCAAGACCTTGCGAATGAGGCCTTTGAAAAAGGTGATACTTTCTGAAGGAGCGCCCACGCAGGCAGTAAGTGCTTTAAAATTGCACATTAATTTGTCTGAACCCAGAACTCCCATGTAGGCAAGTTCTGTGAAATTTCTGAAGCTGCACTGTGTTATCTTCACGCAAGTTAAGGAGGAAAAAAGAGTGCACAGTATATTCCTCTAACTATCACCGATACCATAGTTGTGAAGAACTCTGCGTACCGTGCCCTGTGTGCTATTAAGGATTCTTGGAGTATATACACATAACTAGACTTCTAGCATATAGGTCTAGAGGAATCCACTTCAAAAATAGACTTAACCTATGCAAATAATGCATACAGCGTGTCTTATGTTTCAGAAACAAACTCCCAAGCTGTGGTCGTTTTAAAATACCAAAAGGCACTATAAATCCAGTTTTAATGAGAAATCTTTTAAATCAAATTGATTTCAAATATTTTTAGTTAGGTGACCCAAAATGCCTAAGACTTGCCGTTTCAGTTTAAAGTTTAAGAACTCCCGAAATACAAATTTAAAGCAAAATTTTGAAGTTGTTATCAGAGTAAGATGAGCTCCCAGCTTTTGTTCATCATGAATGCTTAAAGATTAGCTTTGACAAATTTCTTACATACTTTCAAATAAGTAAATGTTAGCAGGTGCCCTAAAGATGACAGTAATCAAGCTGTAACCGTACTGTAACTGGATAATAAAATATTATGGCTAATTTGTACATAACTATACGGAAAAAATGGCACTCAAATTACCATCCTCACAGATACTTTGCAAGATATTCTGATTATTTCATTTAATGCCATATAACAGGAACCAGGATTTACTGGTCAGAAGATAGCGCTGTCAACGGACTCATGAAGAACACTGAACACAAATGAATTATTTCTCTGCCATCCTGAATAATTTTCAGGGCTATAGGCTGCTGCACTTTCATAGCAGAATTTTTTCAGGACATACAGCAGGACTATATGAGTGCCTTTTTCAGAGATGTACACTAGATGGCCAATTGCACTTGAAGGTCTATTAAAAAGCCTGTATGTGTTAAGAGTTTAGTTGTTGGAAGGGGAAGGGGGCCAGGGGGTCTGTTTAGAAACAAAGTTACTTATTTTTTTTTAAATGATCCACCTTCTACTCTGCTTTCCAGGTACTTGTCCAACTCTGCCTCTCTTTTCACCGCCTCTGGCGATACCTTTGGTGCATTCGGAAAACAGATCAATATCACACTCATGTTGTCTCGACTTCCCTGGTGGAAAAGAAAAAATGATTTGAGAATGTATACACACCAGGCTAAATACACATCAAAGCATTTTACACACAAAAATTCACAAATCATATGGTATTAGCATACAACTTTTACTACTATGGATTAATATTATCATTAGCCTTAATTTCCCCCCACCCCCTTACAGAATCCCAGAAGTCTGCCCGTTCATTCAGTACAACTTTTAATTAAGTTACTTTGTTCTTTCCTCTTATGGTCTGAAGACTACACGGAGCCAATTACAGACAGCCCATTGTCTTTTAAAAATTGACATTACTAATGAGTGATGCGTAATTACAAAGTTGTGTTCCATCTTGCTTTAAGCACTATCCAATCATTTTGGGAAAACAGCTGAATATTAGATGGGTAAACAAAACCATTACTGCTTAAAAGCACTAAGCAGGGAGGTGTTGAATTCAGACCGTGCTTCCACCTAAAATCACAGCTATTAGGTTTTTTTTTTCCCCCTTTTTCTTTTAAAACAGAAGAGTTACAAGTGAGAGAATCTGTTAAAAGACCAGCTGGAAGGGGCCCAGGCCTTTACAAAAGCATTCTTTGAAATGGAAACATTTAAAACTCCTACTTGAATACGTTAAAATACAAACACATTCTGCTTATGAAACGTAACTGTTTAGTTTACTTTCAATACCCCATGCTCTGGTCTACAAACATGCATCCGTACGCTTAACTTTTAACACCAATTAAATCCACTGAAGTCAGCAAGATCAAGAACAAGCCAGTGTTTAAAACAGAAGTATACGGACGTATGGGGAGGTGCTGACAGTTGGCTACTGCAAAGCTTACAGCATCCACAAGCCACTGTTCCTTCCCCAGTATTTGTTTTCAGGATTACCAGATAAAAATTGTAAACAAAAATATATGCATTATCAATCTGCCAAAGTGTTGGAAAGCAATTACATTTTTCCAAAAGGGAAACAATGACCTTGTTAGCCATGTGGCAAGAACAGAGATGCTGTCTTGTCTCTTTAGTATCAAAAACATTGGCTCTTTTTTACACTATGACTTATAGCTTGCCTTTGGAAAATTAAGTGTCAAGCTATGAAACTCAATACTTCAAATCTCTTCTGTAACTGCACCATCCTGCAACTTATTAATACAAAGTAGAAGTTATGGTAGACAAAATTACACAGATTTGTTAAACAAAACAGTCCCATCTTCTACTTGAGCTAGTTTCAGAGCTGCATCACACAACACTGAATAAGACATACAGGAATTAAACCAGAATAAAAACTAACTTAGGAAGTCAGATCTTCACATAGTCAAGAAGAAATTTTAAACTGCAAAATACGAACTCAATGTTCATTCATTCTGCATTTACCTTGGTGTAACTATGACAGTAATGTTACTACTATATGCCCAAGAAAGGAGGGGAAGATTAGGAAGGGAAAGAATATTCTATAACCTGATTAAATCTTAAGAGTTAATGTTTTGTAAAGTATGTTGTGAAACAGAAAAGGGCAGTTATTGCCCTTGGCTTGCCCATTAATTCCCGTTAGCTTCTAGTTTCCCAGTGATCATAACATATCTGTACATGATTTTAAACTCTTCATTAACCAAAACCACACAGAAAGCCATACTGGTTCTGTTGTGTGTTCATTCCCCCTCTATCACCATTTTTGTGAGAACCATAGTAATTACTGTCGAAGTCATGTTAACATAAACCATTGGACACTTATAGACTGGAATCAAAACTTATTCTTAACTTGTTCATAAACTTCTAACAGTGAAAACACAGTAAACCTCTTCTCTCAAGTCTGGCTACCTTGTACAAGCAGGTGTCAACTATCTCATTGCAAACTTTCTCAAGGTCATCAGTGACTTCAAGTCTGGATCTTACAAAGTCACACAGCTCTTCATTTCCCATAACATCCCAGATACCGTCACAAGCCAGTATGATGAATTGATCATCTTCTTCTGATCTCTCAATTTCATAAACTTCAGGCTCAGGTGAGACTAGCTGTTCTGTAGGACCTTTCCCATGGACACATTTGTAATCAAAGTCCCCAAGTGCCCTTGAAACAGCAAGAGAGCCATTCACACGCTGAATCATTACAGAGCCACCTGCATTCTGTATACGCTCTTTCTCCAGTGGATTACTTGGTTTGTGATCCTGTGTGAAGAAGTGAACCTTCCTGTTTCTACAAAGTAAACCTCTCGAGTCTCCACAGTTGATGAAGTATGTATGTTGGGGAGAAATCATGACACCCACAGCTGTTGACCCACTTCTGTCTGCACCATGTTTCTTCTCGGAGATGACTCTCATGTGTTCATCAATTTGCAGAAAACCTGTTCTGATGCCACTCTTTACACTTTCCACAGACGGTGGCCCATCTGGCCCTTTAAAATCCTGGTTGCTCGTGATGTGATCTAATAAATGCTCACAGCAGTACTTGGCAACCTGTGATCCAGCGTGCCCATCATATACAGCAAAAAATGACCATCCATCAAGTCCATTTGGCAAACCAATCACAGCCGTATGTGCATCCTCCATTTCAACTCGCCAGCCTTGCATACTACTCAGACCATAACGAAGCCCATTCCCTTGCCCCTGGGCATTATGCTTCTCCATCTTTGGCTTGTCTAAAAATGCTCCCATGATGACTTTCCTTCAGTTCTAAAAGGAAAAAAAGGATTATTAAGGTATTTCTTAACATTTCTTGTTTAAACATCCTATTGGAAACTATTAAATAATAGCCCAAATAATTTTAAGATGACAAAAATACACAGATATAAAGCTGACTTTTCTGCATCTCGCTGAAGTCAAATTTGCATTGCTTTCATGTAATTTAAACAAGGACACTGCTACTAGCTGAGTTGCATTTTTCATATTTTTGTAAGTATTTTCAGCAGTTTTACTTTAAGAACTGATATTCCACTATCATTCATGGTTCTGACAAAAGCCTCTAGTATAAGTATGTATGAAATTAGTTTGAAAGAGGACTTGTTAACTGGCACATATCTGAATAGCTATGTTCCCTGCTATTACTAAGCCAATGGAAGAGTTCAATGTTTCCAGGACAGTGGCATTCCCTAGATCCCTACCTGCTGGTCACAAAGTCCTGCTCACACTCTGCTTTTCCAATGGTGATGGGGAAACAAAAGCAAACTGATTAGGTTTTCTTTTGAGGGAGGAGGTTCGGGGTTTTTTGGTTGGTTGGTGGTGTTTTGTTTTGTTTTGTTTTTGAACAGATACAAGTGATCTGACTGATCAGGATGATGCCAGAGTCTGCATAAAGGAAGAGCCAACACTGGATAACTAGGAGCAGGACTCAGAAGGAACAGAGCGGCTATCCCTTTAGGCAGCAGCAAGCCATTAGTTTGGCTCAGCCATCTTGTGAAAGCTCATCCTTAGATTTTCAGTCAAATTACGCAGCAAGCTTCTCAAATGTCTGTGCTGCAGATTTACTTAAAACCTTAATGTATTCATGCTTCACTGAAAGACAACTGTCCCTGACAAGTCTAAGGAAATCTGTTTGGAAATAAAAACACAAGTATTGTAAATTCATGCTTCCTTATTCAAGCCAGACCAATATACTGCACACCCTATCCTCCTCCACCTCCCATCATCAGGATGTGATGCAGCAAATATTCACGCTTAAGAGAATAAAAACTATATTTGCAGGCAGCGTAAACTGACTGGTTTATCTTCATGGCTTTCACACCCTAACCATCCAACCCACCCTTCTAATCCACATCAGTTTACTTGTGCATTCATTATCAAAAAATCATACAAAATAGGTCACACATTTTACATACTTGCAAATTCTGCCCTGGGAAGCATCGAAGAGTGTGCAAATCACTGTTATACAATACAAGGTAATGGAGCTTTTCTATTTGAAGACAGTGGACAAGAATTAACTGTGAGAAGAGTGTCTGAAACAGATTTTACCTGAGGCCCCAACTAAGCAGCTGCACTAGCAGAAAAGTTAGTACACTAGGGGTTTTAGAAGGTTTTAACTTGTATGTGGAATACATTTGATCAGTTTTCTAAGCAATAACATCACTTTTTGGTAACATGCTTTTATTGCAATACAGCTCCAGCTATAAGTGACACTATATATCCAACAAAGCTTTTCAATTTGTCTCTTTCAGCCACTATCAACCTTTCTAAAACATCTGTATATGTTAGAATAAACAGTCAAGAAATGTTTATATTTGATCTCACCACAACAGTGATTCAAATGTGAGGCACAGGGACTGGATATACACTCTTTGACTCACATGCTTTAACAAAACCAAAAGCCGCTCATACTTCAGCTGTATGGAGAGAGATGTCAGCAGCAGTACACCTCTGCTTCCTCTCACCCCAACCCCTGTTCAAGTTCTGTCTCTTCTCAAGCGAACACAAAATATTGATGCCCACACAAACTGTAACTAGCCAACAAAATATAGCGTACACTGGTCTTGTATCCTAAGCACATGCATGAGGTTCACATTACTGCAGTTGCTAGGAAAAAAATACAACTTAGACTTTTTTATCTTCACATGCAACTCTAGTGAAGTCAGAGTGATCAAAATAATTACAGAATGCTGCCATAAATCAAATGGGGAACTATTCTGCGGAATAATAGACTTTTGTTCATTCCATGATAGCAGCAGAGTTTAAACTAACGCCTAACACTTTCTTATTGTCAGAAAGATCATAAAATAGAATGCAGATATTCAATTATTTCACCTTAATTTAGAGCTCAAAAAGCAGAAACTGCCCTGGCAAATACCACATCTGTGTGAAGTATTTTACATTATCACTGTGTTTAAAACAAAACAAAACAGAAAAGCATTAAGAACAGGACACAGTTAAACTGACCACAAGCACTGTCAAATTTGGACCAAAAAAGGCTGTTTTACTTCTAATCTCTCACGTTACTAGGTATACAACATTCAGACAGAGTTGTGCTTTGTAAGCTGTTTGTCCCTCTCAGTAGTTTGTCATGTAAACCACAATTAAAAATACATACAGACAGGTCATATGCAGTTCTAGCAACTCATACAGAACTGCTAGCACACTTCAAAAATTAACAAACCCACTCTCCATTTAAAATCAAGTTGCCTTATCCCTTCCCAGAAGGTAAACTGAAAGCTGTTGCTATTCTAAATTAAGCGTTGTAGGTGAGATGTTGACACATGATTCTTCAAGGGTGCGAGCTACCCACCATAGATGCGAATACAACCAGACAGAAGGATAACCACAATGTGGTCACATCTACTTAGGAAATTATTCACAGCCCATAGCATAAAGTAGTCACCTCCTGAAAACTGCAATAACAGACTGCAGCTGCTTTCCTTGCAACACTCTAGCTAATCATAATTCCACCAGAACACCAGTCTAAACCTGTAGGAGGGTAGGCCAGATTTTCAAAATCCTCACTGTATCTGAAGGGAAAGCATAGTTTACTCGTGGATAGGATCAATGTGCCAAGCCTTTATTTATTCCAGAATTTCAATTCTTGTTCAGAAAAATTTGAGTTTAATATGACCAATCTGTGAATTCTTATGAATCGGAGGCTACCTGCTACTTCTCCTCCCACACCCTTATCGGTGGCTAAAACCTGAAGAATTTGAAGAGTCTTAGTTATTAAAAAAAAAAAAAATCCTAGTTTTAAAAGAAGGGACACGCACACAAAAAAAGGCTGACATAAGAAAGCCGTGGCTCCTTCCTACTAAAAATGTCTTTTAGACCTGTTTTTGAGTCCATATCTACGGAAACATCTTTCACACATCAGGGTCTACCTAAATCACTAGTACATTCTTCATTCTTTCATGACGTGGTTTGTATACTATACTGATTAAGTTGGAATGGCACCTTTAGTTAAGCATATAACTCTGTATGCAAATCAGATTAACCTATAGCGGTGCAAGTGCCCAAGTTACAGCATGACTTTGTTATGTAATAACACTAAAGAGAGAAGTCAGACCCAGAGCAGTCTGCATGCATGACGTGCAATAGAGCAACAGGTTCTGAACATGGTTTAACTTAGCCCTCTCTTGTATTTCTTTAGTCACCTTCCTAAACAGGAGTCCTTATCTTACGAGCCTTATTCTCCAAATAATTTTACTACCCTTCCCCTTGCCCTTCTTAACCCAGCCACACATTTCTGCAATCATGTTAGAAAACTGCAGTCTCATAGCAGGAGACAGAACCAGTCCTCTACTCTGGAAGCCTCAACTTTCAGGATGCTTGAATGATGCACATACCTACTAAAGGAGACAGACTTCTTCCTATTAAAGCCAAAGTAAGAGAAAATGCACTTCAGTCACGAAGTTTAGTGGCAAATGTACACCACCCACTCTTTTTTTTTTTTTCTTAGAGAAGGACAATTCTGAACAGTACTATAGCAGCAGTGCCCTGTAAAAAGACGAAAGGTGCAACATTTTCTTCAGAAATGGTAACTCTAAAAAAACATCATCTGGCACTGCAACTGCCACAACGATTAGTCAAGCAAACTTCAATTTTAACCTAAGATGATTCTTGGTTCACCATCTCTGTATCAGTGACTTCCATTAGTTTCTCATAAATGAGAAGAGCTTTCTGCAGTCACAGTTCCTGGGTTTTGGCTCTGAAGAATAGAGAGGCTTCAGAACAAAAACAAAAGTGAAAATGGACCCTATACATAAAAACGAATATGCAGGGGACACATTTATGCATCTACAAGTGCATCTAAACCATGACTTCCGAAATGCTTATTTTGTGGAGGTGAAACTGAAGGTCAGCCTCTACAGCAAGCGCATGAAAAATTCAAGTTGCAGTTTGCAGACAGAAAAGCAAGAATACTATACAGGGCGTAGAAAAATCAACACAAGTAACAAGATCTTGGATAAAACACAAGAGTGCCAAAATTCAAAGGACTGCAGCATTAGAAACAAAACAAATAATGAATGGAGCATGCCAAAGAGTCAGTAGCTAAACTCCTTGAAAATAGACACAACTGGAGAACAGAGCGGCAAAGAAAAGGAGGGTAATTAGTATACTGGACCATGGATACATATACCACAGATACATCACTGGAATGCATGAAATCTCTTTGCCCTTTCATTTGTCCCTCAAATTGTGCTATCCAGACAGCACAACTATAATGCCTTCTGATACACATGAAAATAAGTTTTACTGTTTTGCTATTTGCTTATTCATTTGCTTGAAGGTTCAAATGAAGACAAGTCTTAAATTGTTTACAAAGGACAGTTAATGTAAGTCCATGTACCCCTGTAAAAAGACAATTTATTTTTCCAAGGAATTCAGACACGGATTTGATCGTCTTGTCCAAGAAAACCAACCACCCCATCTGAAACTTGTACTTTAACAATATGTAATTTAATAACCCTTTTTAAACAATATTTGAATTATATTCCTCCCACTAGGATAAGCTGCTTATATGAACCACACTGAAGTCATAGGCACAGTTCAAACTAAGCTGAGAAATGTCCCCATACTTCAATTTCCTGGAAGAATTCTCCAAGTGACATTACGCCCTGCGTGTTGTCATGAGCACCATAAAGAAAGATTACAATCTTTACTTGAACTACAGGACACAGAGCAAGTCACCGAATTATACAGACTGCTACTGAATAGAAAAAGGGCATTTGATCACTTCAACTCCAGTCTGATCCGTGG